CCCAGAGTTCGGTAATAACCCCAACAGTGTTGGGGCTCTTTAAGGAATCCATTCAATAAAGTTCATACAATTCATAAAGGAACCACATTTTTTTTCCACCTCATATGGAACAGGAGAGATGTGCTAGGCTTGTGTGAGGTATCTGACATAAGCCCAGCCCTAATGCCTATTTTGTGCCTACCTTGTCCTCAGATGCATCAGTCTGGTGTGATGGGTAGGGCCTCGACCAAGGGCAACCAGGTTTAAGTCCACCCTCAGCCATGTAGACTTACTGGCTGATTTTTGCTTGTTGTTGGGAAACATGGAAGGAGGAAAGGTGGGATATAAACAAACAAAGGAATAAATAAGCATTTATTTGGTTGAATTATATAATGATTGGCAAGTTTTGAGCTACAATACCTATTTGTATTTCTTATGCTATGTTTGTAGCACTATGCTTTCTTATCCTAACTATTTCTTAGCTCTTTAAATCCTTTCCCCCCAGGTCTTTAGCTCTTGTAGCCAGTCCCAGCCTATTTGCATGTGAAAACTCTTTTCACTCCTTTACAGACTTGTGAATGGGCTCTTTTCCATACACACACACACCTAACACCCCCAGCCCTCTCTTTCTGGAGCTGGTTTATAGAGCTCTGCACCTGGGCTGCTGCATGGCTTGGACTTGGTCTGGTTTGCAGGCTTGAACTGGTTTGCAGACTCTGGTTTTGCTCTTTTCCTTCCTGTCTCTCAGCTCTGCCGCTCAGCAGTCTTGCACCTCCAAGAATTGAAGGTTTCTCTTGCTGTCCGAAGACTACTGCTGAGGTGCTTCCCTTTGGGTTGGAGGTTTCGCTTTCCCCAGTCTCTGCTGTCTTCTAGCCTCAACTCTTTTTCTTGACACACTCACACACATGCTTGTTTTCCGTTTCCTTTTTATAAAACAAACTCTCCAGTTAAGGAGAGGGTGGGGCTGTTTGAACCCTCCCTCCTAGTAGCACCAAAATCCTGGATCCCAGGAGGGAGAAAATGCCTGCTCACCCCAGGTGGTGAGTTCGCTCTTCCAGAATTTCTAAAATGGAGAGCTGTATAGAAAATTCATATTTTTTCAAAAAAAGAAGTAAGAGGATTCTTTATCAATGGCACTTCAGATCAAGACCAAATTCTATTTAGAACTCTGAAAATTGGAAAAACAACGGAAATGGGAAGAATTTCAAGAACATATTTTGTATGATTCGGAGCTGTTTTCCTAAATTAAAATTTTTAGAATATTAGGATTCTTATTTTGTCAACTCTTTGTTTAAGAAATGAATTGGAAGGATTGACAGGAAAAAGAGTTCCTTGGTTTTACAGGTCATATTTGGGAACAAGGAATTTTGTCTGCTGAGTCCAGGTCTGAGAGCATTTTTGGCCCAAAAGTGTAGCTGCCAACCGGTTGATGAACTCTGCAAGCAAGCTCTTTCTCTAATTAGTGGATTTAATCTGAAAAATTTAAACAAGGTATTTATAAGTGTTTTCAAAGTTTATGTTTATCATTATTATAACTTGCGAGATGTTAATAACTTGCTGGAAAACGAAGCTTTTTCTAGGACGGTGTCACACGTACGTAGTTGAAAGAGTCCAGAATAAAGAGTTTGCAGAAGATATAACAAAATACATTCCCCAAAAGAAGAGGTAGTTCCCATGAATGAGGCAGGGACACTGTGGTAGAAAAGTAGCAGGAGGTCTGAGAAAAGTGTCTACGTTGGACTGGCCAAGGCTTAATAGACTGGTCTAGCTTGGTTGGAAAATCAAAATCAAAATAATTAATAATAATAATAATAATAATAATAATAATAGAAGGAGAGAGGAGGAGGAGGAGGAGGAGGAGATTTATAGGTCTTGGGAGGCATTACACTGAATGGGTCTCAGGTCTTATGTAATAAGGGCATAAGTTACAGCTACCTAGATTTCACTGAAATATAAGGAAGAAATTGCTGATGGTAAGATGTGTGCAATAATGGAGCAGTCTAGCTTCAGAGGTTGTGGGTTGTCCGCTCTGGAGGTTTTTAAGAAGAAACTAGCCTGTCACCATACAAGGGTGGTTTAATTAGTTTTCCTGTACATTACAGGGAGTTGGACTAACGGATCCTTGTGATCCCTTTCAGTTTCAAAATTCTTTGATTCGATCAACTGAATCCTAGGCTGCACAGCTCAACCTGAGTGAGGAAAGTATGCTTGGGTGTGTGAATCATGTGGAGCTTTTAGTTCAGATCATCAACCATATAGATCTATATCTGCATATCTTTCTGTGCCAGAGTCTCTGGATGAAAACAAAATAAAAAGTAACACCAATGGTGCTTTTGCCCATTGGTGTGACATACTGTGTTATGCTGTTTTGAACTATTATGCTCTTTCTGTCCTGTTTAGAAACCTTCTAAATTATTTATGACAATTTAAAATAATCTTCCTATTTCACCTGGATACCTATCTTCTCCCCTTCTCCTTCCCCTCCCTCCCTCCCTCCCTCCCTCCCTTCTTTTTTCCTTTTCTTCTTCCTTCCATTCTGTTAATTTTGCCATAGGCTGTTGTGTGAAACTAGTCAGTGATTAGCCGAAGATCACCTCGGCATCTTAAGGTCATTATTGCCAAAGCAGGATCCAGGAAACTGCCGAGACCCTTCTCACCTATCCCAGTACACAGACCCCTTTTGCAGTGAAATTGCTGTAAACAGTCTTTTCTTTACAGAGCCGATCTGATGTGTATGTCTCCCATTTCCCAGATTATACCTCTGTAAAACATATAATCCACTGGAGCCAGGTAAGACTGATGGATTGATTTTGGTGATTGAATTCAATAAACGCCTTATGCCTTTAATAAGAAGATTCCCAAGGTCAGTTAAAAATAATCATAAGGTAAACTGTTGAGAACCATGGTAAGAGTATGACAAAAACAAGGTAAGTAGGACAAATGCTGGTTAAATCAGCTGATTCTTACTAGAAAACAGCATTTGCTTGATAATGGAAAGCCATACAAGCAGACCTCTCTCAAAATGGCTGACAGGAGCATTGAAAAGGAGCGTGGTGTGATACTGAGGTCAAAGACCTTTAGATCATTTCCATCTCTAAGAAAGCTGGCTGTGTGAAGATATGAGTAACTTTGGGGAAGCTACTGAAATTGTGAGTTGTCTTGGTGCCTTCCCACTGGAGCTAAGTCCCTTTAAATGATAGAGAAGTATGATTGGAAGATATTCTCCATAGGTACGGTCTTTACACTTGTTATTATTTTAATTATAGAGAGACAAATATAGTTACTCATGCCCCTGTTTTCTTGTCTGTCTTCTTCCAGTCAATGAAAACTGGGCTTTTCAGATATTTTGACTATGGCTCGAAGAACATAGATATATATAACCAGGTAGGCTGTGCTGGATTTTGACCATTCTCTAAGGTAGGATTTGCTGGATGTTTCCGTTTGAAAGAAGACAAATAATGAACATTTGACTCCTAAATCCCATACTGTAATGATTCCTTTTTTGCCAAGTGGCCAGATTACTCCATAAAATACCTTTATCCTCGGTAGCTAAAAATGAAGTATAACTAATGAATAAGTATTTATGATTGGAAAAGTTCATGTTGTTTTAGAAAACTCCAGTAATTAAAAGGTGTATGTCTATTGGAAAGCAGCATACACATCTTTTCAAGAAAGTGGTTGAGATAGAAGTGGAAGGATATGGGAAGAATATTGCATAGGTTTCTTCTAGAACGTCTGATTCAGATAGGATGTAATGTAAATACAAATGCACCAAGAAAGTATTAAGAAAAAGGAGAAGGAGAAAGAGGGGAAGTAAGAAGACAAATCAGGACAAACTTAGAATTCAGCATGTATGTCAGCTTGGGATGACTCACACGTTGATGCATCTTAGGAATAGCAATCAGAATAAGAAGATGGCATGGTTTGTGGAATACCAGTCTTAATAATAAGATTGCAAGCTTGATGAAATACTACTGGACTGTACAATGCTGTGCATGACTGAATAGACTGTGTTCAAGTGAGACGTATATCCAGATATGTGCCTGTAGGAACTATAGGCTAAAAACGCTTATCAAATTTGAATTTCTTACCTAGGGCATGATATGCATAATTATACAAAGTTGATGTCACTGTATCTTGACAAATCAGTTGTTTATGTGGGGCACTCTACTTTCTATGTGGTTATTATCCACGCTATAATTCTAAGGATTATGGTGATTATGCTTTCTAAAATCTGGGACAACCTTTCTCCAGAAAAAAAAAAGAAGCCTGTGCAGTCTATATTTCCAAAAACAGTTCCTATAATCTCTGCAGTGCTTTAAGTAGTTTTCAGTATTTTTTTAAATAGAAAAACAATGTGGATACAGTCTACAGTAAGTTCAATAGAGAATACAAAATTAAAAATGTGGTTGAGTCAGT